ATCATAGCTCATTGCAGCCTTGAACTCCTGGGCTGAAGCAATCCTCCTGCCTCAGCTTCCCAAGTAGCTGGGACTACAGGCCTGTGCCATCACACTGGGCTAATTTTTAAAATTTTTTTGTAGAGACTAGGTCTCACTCTGTTGCATAGGCTGGTCTTGAATTCCAAGCGATCCTCCTGCCTCAGCCTTCCAAAGAGCTGGGATTCCAGGCATGAGCCACTGCACTAGGCCAACTTTTTTTTTGTAAGTAGAGGGAATACATTCTAAAATAATGTTAAAAAGTATAGTATAGTAAATACATAAACCAGTAACACAGTTGTTTATTATCATTATCAAGTATTATGTACTGGACATAATTTTATGTGCTGTACTTTTATATGACTGGCAGTGCAGTAGGTTTGTCTATACCAGTATCACCACAAGCAAGTAATGCATTGCACTATATCATTATGACAGCTACATCATTAGGTGATAGAAATTTTTCAGCCCCATTACAATTTTATGGGACCACAGTTGTATATGCAGTCTGTCATTGACTGAAATGTCGTTATGGGGTGCATGACTGCATATGCCTTTCACTTATAGCCTTCTTTCTAATATCCTAATAACTCTAACTGTGCATATATTTTAAAACTGAGAAAAACCAGCAGTAGTTGTGACCAACATAGGTTTTTACTATCTGGTGGGGTGAATTATTTGGGTCCCTTTAGTCTTGCACTTTGCATTAGCATCTCAATTAGGCACCGTTACTGGGAAGGAAAAAAAGAAAATAGTAAAATCTAGAAGCTATGAGGAGGCAGATTATTGGTTCAAAGCAAGGCAGAATTTATTCTGTCTAGAAAGTGGACCAAACTGATTTTTCTTGTCAGAAAGAATTACAAAGGAGATTCCTGCATTTAAGAAGGAATTTGAGGCAGGGCGCGGTGGCTCACGCCTGTAATCCTAGCTCTCTGGGAGGCTGAGGCAGGAGGATTGCTTGAGCCCAGGAGTTTGAGGTTGCTGTGAGCTAGGCTGACGCCACAGCACTCTAGCCCGGGCAACACAGTGAGACTCTGTCTCAAAAAAAAAAAAACAAACTAATGGGAGATTATTTGTGTTATTAAATACCCACATGCTCCCATTAAGAAAGCAGATGGAGCATATTAAATTGTCAATTAAGCCTTACATAAGTATGGCAACTTACTATAAAAGACTATCAATAGTCTTTAGGCAGTGCTTTCTAGAATTTATAAAAAATAAAAGTAATAGTAGTCTATGAGTTTAAAATTTCCTCTAAATAAGAGATTTGTTAAAGAAAGTGATCAAAGTAGAACCAAATAAGGAATCTCTATATAAATTCTTATGTCCTTAAATTCTACTGTTTTCTAATTTTATACGTATATAGCTATACTCTCTCCTTTATCATTGTTGTTTTGTTGTTTACCTTCAAATTGCTTTGGGGGAGACAGAAATTATGCTTACTCAGACATGAAAGTAGGATTATTTGTAATTTTCCTACCATGTCTCCCAGGTGGTTCATGCCTAGATCATATGAGTGCATTCCCATTGAATGTTCCAGATTGTGTAATGTCACAAACTTTAGATTCTTCTCCCAGATGAGACGCCGTACTGTTTCCTCAGTCTAAAATATAAGGAAAAAGAACATAGTTATACTGCATCCTGTTCAATAATGAAAATAGCATTTTATGAAGCATTCTACTAAACGTGGATCTACTGGAGAGCATGCAAGTCAATGAATATATCCAATATAACTGCTAAAGTCATATAATAATCTTAATTCTTGCTCTTAATTGCTTTGATGG